CCCCTCTTACACCTCTCTCCCCTCACCCCCCCCAGCACCCAGGGCAGCCTCAGCAGGGGCCACAGGTGACAGGGGCCACAGGGACAGGTACAGGGGGCAGCTCCAAATCCAAACCTATCAACCGGATAAGCACGGTGGTGTGAGCAGGGCGTGGGGCCCCAGGGGTCAGAGGTCGGACGACAGGGAGGAGCTCACGGCCAGGAGCAGGGCCAGGTCCAAGTCGGCCAGGACTGAGAGCAACAGCAGCGGCTCCAGCGACAAGAGGAAGCGCAGTTTGCTGCGCCTGTGCTATTTTCACCTCCGTTTCCCACACATGTAGGTGGAGATGAGGAGCACGGCCGCGGTTACTACACAGGAAACAGACCTGCAGATATGATGTGGACAGATCCTCCCACACTAGAGCAGAACCACAGGTTCTACAGCCATATAACCTGAGATGGAACCACGTCCTGGACTAGGTTTTCTGCCTCTGTCCTCAGTGTTGACCTCCGCCCGGGTCTGGGTCACAGTCAGTCAGTCTGTACATTTAAAGTATCATGATGTGATAGCGTGCCACTGTAAACCTATAGACCACATATACAGTATATCCAGCTGTTTACATGGGGAGCCTGTAAATAAACACGTGTTCACCAGATGCGTTTGAATGGGAATCAGCAGAGTTGCAAAAAGAAAAAAAAAAAAAAGTCCTCTGACTTTGCAATAATTTCCTTGGCTTTACAATGTCCTGCTTTGCTAACAGAAAACAAAAAAACACCCCAAAGCACCAATTTTTTTCTAAGAAACACCTCAGATATTTCGCTTTGTCTTAAATTTTCAAACCAATGCGCCGTTTCCTGACCGTCATTTTACACGTCCTCAGGATCCGGCCGGCTTTTTAACGCATATCCCGGTTGGAGTATGGAAATTAACGATACAGTTATATATTTTTGAATGTTTCTAAAGCTTATTACTGTTTTATTGATATTATATACCTGCTCAGAGTGATGAATATTGTCCAATATTTGTTTTGATCATTAATAAGAACATACATATAAGCAGATAATGTACACGGTTCTAGAGAGTATAGACAACACCGCTCCGTTTGCCCTCACCGTACGTACGTGTACAGGGTGCAGTAATATGTGTGGCATTTTTTAATTAATTTCCATTGAAGTTCATTTATTTAATTTACAGTTACTGAGATTCAAATTTCCCTTTAAATTATTTAAACCCTCACGACGTTCCCGCTCCTCTGTTTGTGCAACATCAGCAGATTTGTTGACGCAGGTTCATGTATTAGAACCTGAACTCAGAGGGGAAAATCTTGGACTTGTGAGAGGAGATGCTGTTTGTTGGTAACTGCAGCAGGCAGATTTAATCATCGTGATTTTTTTTATACGTGTGTGTGTGTTTTTGAAGGCGTACGCTTGTACATGAAGTTTTGTGGTTTTTTGCACACGTGACGTCTCGAAAGTCAGAAAAGGCCTTTCTGATCCCCGCGCTCCCTACTTTTGACATCTCATTATATTTTTAGATGTTGAGAGGCTTCCCGTCGAACAAGTGAACAAGTGAAGAAGGTTAGCGTGTCTGCAGGCCTTTAATGTATTTTCCTTTGCTTTTCATTATATGGCGTTAGCCTGGTGCGAGTGTCGTCCCTTTAGCTACCGCTTTGTGTAGTTTGTGTAGTTGACTTTCGGTGGTTACCTCTAGTGCCATTAGTCACCCAGGTGATTAGGTGATGTGAGCTGCACATGTTCTGACAACAGGAGAATAAGTCGGCGATGACAAATCAAAGAAAAACCCTAAGAGTGAGCCACTGGAGACGACAACATTCATTTTCAAGGTGAACGAGGTTGGGACGGTATCACTTTTTTGTAAACCGGAAGACTTTATAGCTCTTTGTTGGCTGACCTTTGACTTTTATGTTGACAAATGGAATAATTTCTTCTTGCATGCTTGCATATATCTGCACACTATGAATTACTGTACTGTATAAACCTGAATGTACATATTATATTATAGATAGGCTTCTATTGGATGGTGAGTCTGGTTGAAGGTGTGTGCATGTGAGTGCCACCTAGTGTGTGCTGTACATATAAAAGCAGGTCAGGATACTGTAGATGTTGGTCGAGAGGCGAACCCGACGACTTCTTCTTCTTCTTCTTCTTTACTCATTATATCAGACTGAAGAGAGAATGAGTAACGACAACGACATACATTATTAAAGCCTATAAACGATTAAATGTCAGTGCACTTATCGAGACTATTTTAAAGAAATTATTTAATTTTTTTTCCTTTTGTGTTTGTAATATGTGTACTGAAAGAATAGAGAATTGAGATGTGAATATTGCTTCTGATAAATTAAAGTGTCCTTGCAGTGACATCTGTTGTGTGTGTTTTTTTTTCCTTTATGAAAAATATTGTTATTGTTTCATTATGAAATTACATTGGACTTTTTTTTTTTACAAAACGGACACTAAAAAACACTATCTTGAAACAGAAAAAACAAACAAAAATTTTTACAAAACGGACACTAAAAAACACTCTTGAAACAGAAAAAACAAACAAAATTATGCAACTTTACACAATACTGACAATGGCCACACGGTGGCAATGTGGCTCATGTTCTTTTCTTACAACAAGCCTCTTCTGTGGTAACTTGAGTGCTCAAGCAGCCCTCGCCCAATGACCGCTGGGGCTGGCTTCATGGTGAAGGAAGATAAGTCGATCGTTATCTTCCTTCTACAGCATAGGAACATAAAAATAATAAATAAAGAAAAGAAAATTACGTTCCCATTTAGCACTATTTGAAAGTGAAGAAACGACAGCTACAAGCTAAACTGCTAAATAATGACTCAAAACAGATACTTTTATATAATAATATGAAGGGTTTGATAGCGGTCAACTACATATATGTGTATATATATAATTATTTTTATGTAATTTATCTTGAATTGTGACCCAGTAAGAATACAGTAAGAAATACAATAAACACAATACAACCAAAATATGTTCTAATATCCACAAACGAGCCTTTTATAACCATAGCTTTCATGTATCCGCATTAGTGATGTGCGTACGTGCGAACTACTTCCAGGGAGTAAACGTGACGGACGTGGTGCTAAGACTCCGGGTTGTGCTTCGGTCATGGGAAAAAAAACTAAGATGGCGTCTCGTCTAGAAAGATAGGATGGCTCAGAGGGAGCGATGGTGTTAACCGGGAAATGATTAATTACTACTTAAGCGATAAAGTCTGGGACTTTCATTTAATATCAAACTAACTTCTGCCACCCATGTTGAGAACCCGTGTCGTTTGGCACAGCGGAGTGTATGGATAACCGAGAGTGAAATACGGTCAACTGTGCTAGCAGCGGTAGCTACAGCCAACTGTAATCGAGCACAGCTGGCCAGCGTTAGCTCAGCACCAGTGATCCCAACAACAGAGGAAGGAGAGCGGCCAGCAGCCCTGTCATACCCCGCTACATCCTGCTATCATTAGGTCAGTTACGGACACTACAGTCAGTCCATAACCAGACACTATCACGAGAGTAGGTCGAAATATAATTGTAAATAGATTTTTGTTTTCCTCTACCCACATACGTGTAATAAGAGTAGCAAAAAAATACTGAGTGTTTGTTAGCTTAAATGATAGCTTGTGTGTGGTTTACATTGTTGGCCCTAGTTCGTGGGCCACCCCTCAGGTTAGCACGGCTCCTCTTGAACCGTAGGAGTCAGTGGCACAGAACTGAAGAAGCAGCAGGCGAGGCCTCGACGCTCAACGTTAGCTGTGAACGGCCGTACATAGGATAACAATAGACACAAATGGACCTCAGTTTAGCCCCAGGAGGAGAAAGGACTGCCACCAACATGCTCATTTACACATAACTTACCGGGGTGTTTTTATTTTTTAATTTTCCTCTTAATTTTGATATGGCTGTCGCTGGGAGGTAAGAGTAGTTTAAATGTCACTTCACTCAAGTTTACCTGCTAGTAGCTAATACTTGTGAGTGTTTTTGTATTGATGAGTCCTTTTAAAACACGTCTGATCACCAGAGAGTACGCTTAGGTTAGAAAAGTAATCAATATATTGTTCATTTGTTATCAGTCAAATGCCATGCAGTGCATGTGAGCCAGCCATTATTCGAGTTAGTGATGCCTTCATGGCCTTCTGTTCCCCAGGACTCATGGCCTTCTTCCTATTGTTTGTCTCTAAGACCTTTAAGGCCAACTTGGTGGCAGAGACACTGTTGACCCTGACATCAGCTACTTCATATGTTCGTCTTCACATTTATAAAACAAAAAAAGCCAAGTTTAAACGCATTGTATTTCTAATAATAAACATGACCACAGTGTCACTTGTTCAAGTGCTCACACAAACTACTGTACATGTGTACAACTGTGTTTCAAGTACTTGGACGTTTTAATGGATTCCATGTGATAAAAGTAACCCTCCTAACTGTTATATCTCTCCTTCCTGGGTCTCGGTGATTTCAGAGCAGGGCTGTTGTTTTGTTATGTCTCGTGTTGGGGGAGGGGGTCTAACAATGTCTACTTTGATGGAGAAAGAAAAAAAAATCCCCATCCTGGTTTTGTGACTATTCAAAGTGCTGTGTCAAATGGTAAACCACAAACTCTATGGTAATACTTCATTGAATCCTTCAAAGGCTGCCAGTTATACAATGTAGTGCCCCAGACAGGAAGTCATGGTTTAAATAATTTGACTCTTAAATTAATATCTGATCTTTTTATTACAACTTTTCACTTATTTGATTAAATTTGTTTTGTCTAATAATCATTTTGATTTAATTTAGTTATATTTTTGAAAGTGTGTCTTTAAGTGTCATTACTAAAAAGGTATTTGTAAATGTACATTTTTAAAAATATAATTTTTTGGGTCAGTTAACATTTCAAATATATTGTAAATATACCATTAATCTTAACTACTTTCACTTCTCTACAGCTGATTTTGCCTGATTGTACGGTTGACCTGCACCAATGACTTTGAGTTTATAGTTAAATGCCCTTGTGTCTGAAGTGTTCTTTTCACAAAAGTCGTTCCTGTCTGTTTTATTCCATTCTGTTCTGCTTTGTACTTTTCGACTCACCTGAAACTGTAAAGTATTTTCATCATTACGGGAGAACACCCTCAAAGAGCAGACAACTGCCAAATTAAGCATTAAAATGGACTTATTCTCCATTTAGTGGCAGCTGAAGGTTAGCGTATTTTCTAACTACAGGCTTGAATATGATTGACATAAACTAACCGTAATCTAAATGTCCATGTTGGGTTTAGGGGAGAAGTTATGAAAGGTCAAAGTCAAGAATGTATTGACTTGTTGTTGAGGAAGTTGACGACGGCCTCGTAGGTTGCTTTCAGTTTCTTGCGCATTTTCTTTTGGTTGGAATCTGTATTCGTATTTGTGTTCAGAGTGAATTTCACTTTTAAATGCGGTAGTAAATATCCGGCACGTCGGTTGTTGTTCCTCACTCTGAACTGTCACAGAGCTCTCACAGGTACAGCTTCGATGTTTAACGGCGTCTTCAACACAATTGTTCTCTGTAAATCTGTACTGATGAATAACACTGCTGCAGTGAGTCCACTGGAGGGTTTTTTTTTTAACTCATTTTGCGTTGTTAACCTGTTATCAGGGCAATGGAAGGGGAAGAGTTTGTTCCTCCTCCGGAATGTCCAGTGTTCGAGCCGTCATGGGAGGAGTTTCAGGACCCCCTGGGCTACATCGCCAAGATACGTCCAATTGCGGAGAAGTCCGGAATCTGCAAAATTCGTCCTCCACCAGTAAATATTTGTCATTGCTCAACTTCATTTATTTAAGATATTCATTGGTTGTACATGACGTAACATCAACACGACAGCTGATCAGGTATAACCAAAGTTTATTTAGTTTATTATACAGGTGTGTTAGATATCAATATCAGTATACTGAAATATTGCGATATTTTATTTTACGATAACGTATCGCTATTGTACAGCACTCTATTGATTTTTTTATTAACAACAATTAAAATGCAAATATTTCATTTTAGTTTTACTGGAAATTGTTTTAAAAAAAACTCAATATATTGTCATACCTATGGTATCGCAGTATATCACAATATATTGTATCGTTTCACCTGTATCGTGATAAGTATTGCATTGCTTGGCCAATACACACCCCTACTATAAATACTGCTGAACAGTCTTTAGAATGTAGTTTTCTTTGTATTCATTCACATATTTTCTCCTCCAATCAGGACTGGCAACCGCCATTCTCCGTGGAGCTGGACAGCTTTCGCTTCACACCCCGCATCCAAAGGTTGAATGAACTGGAGGTACGTTTCATGAAGGGACGACTGCAAACAGTGGCTTCATTTTTTTTTTGGTGCACAGTAGTAAATTAAATAATGTATTTAATTCCAGGCGGAGACTCGCGTGAAGCTGAATTATCTGGACCGCATCGCTCGGTTTTGGGAAATCCAGGCGTCGTCTTTAAAAATTCCACATATCGAAAGGCGCATCCTGGATCTCTTCAGTCTGTCGAAGGTGAGTGAGGACGAAATGATGAAGTCAGTTTTAGTCGTCAGTGATTGTGTTAATGAAATGCCTCGTCGTTGCAGATTGTCACAGATGAAGGGGGCTTCGAGATGGTCTGTAAGGAGCGACGCTGGGCTCGGGTGGCACAGAGGCTCGGGTACCCACAAGGCAAAAACATCGGTTCTCTGCTGCGCTCGCACTACGAGAGGATCGTCTACCCTTTTGAAATGTTCCAGTCTGGTGCCAGCCTGCCGGTATCACTGCGCCTTCCTGCGTTTCATTTTTTATTTATTTATGTGTTTGTGCATTTAGCAGATGCTTTTATCCAAAGCAACTTATAAAAGGAGGATTAACAGGATTAAGCATCAAGCTTGTGGTTCCTCTGGGAATTGAACCCAGGACCTTCTGTGTGTAAAGCAGACGTGATAACCACTACACTATGAATCCACTGCTTACTTTGTGAATGATTTAGATTTAGATTTTGAAAGTGATCCTTTCCTCAGTTGTTATTAATGTACAGAATCTGAACCCAGACCCTCAAAGACTGTGTTACTGTAGATTTAGAATTTAGAAATTGATGTGAATCTGATCAGTTTTCAAATAGTTTAAAAAAATGAAAAAAAAAGTCTTATCACCAAAGGACTTCTTTGTTGAATATCAACACAAAAAAATTGTTCTCGTTTCGCTCCTAGCATTGCAAGCCCAAGCACTACGATGGAGAGGACGTGGATAAGGAGTACAAGCCCCACTCCATCCCCCTCCGACAGTCTGTGGCACCGTCCAAAACCAGCACGTATGGTCGCAGAGCCAACCGATGCCAACCTGATGTGAGTCAGCACGAACCTTCTTAGTTGTCTTCAGTTGATGGGTCAGTGGTTAGATTCCATTACCAGGTGCCTTTGTGCAGCTAAAACAAATAACAGTATATAAAAACTATTTATGTTTTTTTCCATTTTGTAAAACTGAAAAATCTGACTGGGGTTTCATCCAATCCCTTAATAATAATAAAATGTTTTTTTTCAAATAATAATAATAATAAAATGTTTTTTTTCTTCTTCAAATATTCAGTGCTAGTGTTTTGCTTAAACTGCACTTTAACACTTTATAACTACACTAAATAATTCATTAGTACTAATGTGAGTGACTCCAGGAGAACATTGTTGCTAATTTGCAGATTCACTCACTATTACGTTTTCAACTCATCACAAACGGTCACTAAAAGATAGCAGTTAATGAGTCGATTTTAATCGTCTTTCATTTAATTTCCAACTGAAAATGTCTTTACTGTAGAACAACCAGCAGTTCAGTGAGGGACAGCTAGGTGGCCTTTAACTCCAGACGTGGTATTTGAGGTTATTAAAAAACGTTTTTCAGCTCTAATCTAATTAAATAGTGACTGTTTTTTCTGCCCTGTGGAAAGTCACTTTACTGTGTTGTTTGACACCAAAGTATACCGTACTAGGCTTAAGTATAGTTTGAGGCTAATGTGACGTCAGACTGGAGCGCACCCGGCTTGCCTGTCCGCCATCTTGCCTGGCTGCTGTGCTTTATCCTGCTGCCTTTGCTCTGTTTTTGCTCCATGCTGTCATTTCTCCTCCTGAGTTCATCTCTTGAAGTAGACCCACAACACTGTTCCATGTCATGTTTTTTTTTTTACTTTATTTTATTAAAACCCATTGCTATATCACGCTTGTGATATAGAAGCAGCAGATTAATCCTTCATTTTCAACCCTAACAGTGTGTTTTTTTTTTTATGGTTTTATCTCTGCTGGTGAAACACGTCAATGTTAACATACTGTGTTTGTATGCTCAACGTCTAGCACGAGACTGAGCGTAAACCGGTAGACGATACCTGTTAGGTTACTTTTGCTTCCTTCATTGCTGTAATGCTATATGTTCACACCAACGCCTGTTATTATAATTTGCCGTTTTTAGCAACAAGCAGTGTCAGAGTCCATGTTTAATACCGTTTGTAAAGAGTAAAAATGTAAAAATGTCTGTAAAAACGGTTAGAATAAAATCATCTAGGCCCACAGGTTCATTCTGATTTAATGCAGTGGTTCCCAACGTGGGGGGCAGGCCCTCTCCAAGGGGCATGAAGCTATTAGAAGAGGGGCAAATTTAATTATGTGTGTTAGTGGCAGAGTGGAAACTCTGTTTTTGTCTTTATTTAATGATTAACATCACTTTTTCAGGAACTACAGTTTGTATCTAAAAGCCAGGTGCCCCTAGAGGGAGAGTGGGGGCACTGCAGAGAACAAAAATGCTTTGGGAACCACTGATCTGATGTGTCTACTTCAACTTTGAACCATGTCTCATAATATGTGCCGGTTAAATTCCTCCTCCAACATACTGGCTCTGTGCTTTCCGGCCTCACCCCGTCCTCACCCCTTGCTCTCTCCGTCTCCCTGCTGTCCTAGTTTATTGTTGCTGTTATTGTCTCCCCTTGCAGGGTCCAGAGGATCTGGCCCCACATCCTCTCACCACTGGCTCTGAACTCATCTCTGCGGTACTGCCTCTAGAGCATATACAGCTCTCCTCCGCCCCTGCTTTCCTTTCTGCCTCCTTATCTTGAGAACCTCTCCAAATTTGTCTCACCTTTTCTATTGATTTTGTTTTTAAATAAACTAACCAGAATTTGTCTCACCTTTTCTATTGATTTTTATTTTTTTAAATAAACTAACCATCCCAGCATTTTGATGTTGAACTGTCTTCTACAGTCATGTGACCTTGAAGAGTAGTAGTATTTGTTTTTTATGTCTTAAAAAAAAAATTTGTTTTTAGAATACCCGTGCCCACATTACTAGCTTCTGAAAATGATGTGAACACACCTCTGTATCTGTGCGGCCCTGAATCTCTCCGTCACTCTGTGTGGTGCTGGGCTGTCTGTGTGCCTCCGCTCTCTGCTGCTCTGCTTCGCTCTCTATCGACTGCGGCTGCAGAGCCTGTGGCTGCATGTGCTCTGGATGGGGTGCCCTCACTGGGATGTTTTGATTTCGTTGACTGCCAGGATTGTTAGGTCGTAAAACACTTTTATTTGAGGTTTTTTTTTTCATCAGTGTTTTGTTGTAAGTCATTGTCGTCGTCTGCTGTGTTCAACTCCCATTTCCACTGGATCATTAGTAAATAACGCACTCTTGACGTGCACTTCAGTGATTAATGAACAGCTCAGGTGAAGTAATTGCAGATTAGACGCAAGCGAAACGTTTCTCTGGTGACTCACCACTAATGTTGCTGAACGTGTTGTGTTGTCGTGTCGTGCTGGATTTAGAGTTCTACCCAGGAAAATCCTTCCTAGGAACAGAGTGACCCAGGAAGACCCAGACTGTACAGAAAGGAAACAGGAAGTTACAGATTATAACACAAGATAACAGAATGTGAAGTGCAGATAAAACACACAAAGAAATAGAAGCAACAGATGTCGGCGCCATCTTGGAATCAAGAGCTAGAATTTCCCAGGTGGTCTGCAGACTGCTAACTGTTTGGTGATTTTCGTGTGTTGGTGACGGGTCCTAACTGTACAGCTAGCTCTCTCTCTCTCTCTCTCACTCTCTCTCTTTATCTGTAAACTAGTAACTAGTATCATTTCTGACCTTTTCTAACCAACAACACAGTCTCCTTCTTGTGATCTCCGGCTGTGCTTCTTCTGTTTGAACCTTCTTTTTGTTCTGTGTTTGTTCTGGCCCAAACCGGTGCTTTGCTCGTTGTGGTGCTTTGGCTGTAGATGCAGCTTCTCTCTGCTCCTCACTGACGACCATTTCCCTTTCCTCCAGCCGGAGCCGACGGAGGAGGACATCGAGAAGAACCCGGAACTGAAGAAGCTGCAGATCTACGGCGCGGGGCCGAAGATGATGGGGCTGGGACTGGTGGCGAGGTATAAAGGCATCAGAAAGAAAGGTGAGGCCCGGGACAAAAACCGTGTTGCTGCCTGGTCCCAGCTGTGTCCACTGGACACTCCACTCTGAACAACATTCTTTTTTTTCTTCTTTAGAAGAGCTGCCTCAGACTGTCAGCATCAGAGAAACCCCACCAGCTGCACCCAGCGACATGAAAGCAGAGCCGCAGGACCCCCAGGAGAAGAGTGAACGGGCCACTCCGAGCCCCCTGATGCCCCCCCCCTGTGTTACCGTTAAGGCAGAAGTGAAACAGGAGGAACCAGAGAACGGCAAAGACGACAACGAAGAGGACGACGAGGCCGACGAGGCCGACAAGCCCTGCACCAAGATGACCATGAGGCTTCGGAGCAACCTCAACAACCCGCAATGTGTATGTGGACCACAACAGTGCCCCTCAGTGGCGCAGAACAGGAATAACAATTGATGTGTTTTATGATCTCACTTTAAACATCTTTTTTTTTCCTTTGACAGGTGGATTCATTCGTGTGTCGAATGTGCGGTCGAGGAGATGACGATGAGAAGCTCCTGCTGTGTGATGGCTGTGACGACAACTACCACACCTACTGTCTGCTGCCCCCACTGACTGATCCTCCCAAAGGCAACTGGCGATGCCCCAAATGTGTGGCAGAGGTAAGAAAAATTATTAAAAAATGAATTTTCATACTTCTGAATGTGTGGCAGAGGTAAGAAAAATTATAAAAAAGAATTTTCATACTTCTGCTTGGATTCTCTTCACAGAACATTTTGTTTTGGGGAGGATTCTCTTCACAGAACATTTTGTTTTTGGGATTTTTTTTTTTTTTAGGAGTGCAAGAAGCCGACAGAAGCTTTTGGTTTTGAACAAGCGACGCGAGAGTACAACCTGCAAAGTTTTGGAGAAATGGCTGACGCTTTCAAAGCAGACTACTTCAATATGCCTGTCCATGTGAGAGAACCCACACCACGCTGACTCCGGACTCTGCTGGTTCTGACTGTGACTTACCAGAGTCCTTTGTGTTGTTGTTGTTGGTGCAGATGGTTCCCACTGAGCTCGTAGAGAGGGAGTTCTGGAGGCTGGTCAGTAGCATCGAGGAGGACGTCACAGTGGAGTACGGCGCGGACATCCACTCCAAAGAATTTGGCAGCGGCTTTCCAATGAACAACGGCAAGAGAACACTGTCGAAGGAGGAGGAGTTTTGTACTTCACTCTCCATCCATCCATCCGTCCATACAGTCTAGTCTGGAATTTTCTGTGTGGAAAATGTGGAAAAATGGAATCACAGCTGACTACGAAATCCTTGAAACAGCGTCGTCAGTTCAGTCATAACAGATGTCTAAAATAAAATCTGGGTTTATCAGTTGGTATTGATGACTATCAGGCAATCAGAGACCTCTCTGATCGATTCTTTTGGTGGAAGAGAGTGGGATTTTTCTTGATTAATCTCAATCATGATTATTTAGATGGCGATGAATCGTAATTTACCTAGATTAAATAAGAATAATGGCGATTTATTCACATATTCCCTGGGATTTATCAGATTAAAAAAGGTTGACAGTTTGACTGCCCTTGTGTTCATGCCCTCCAAGCTTCAGTCTGAAACTGTAAATGTTTTATAGTCCAGTTGAGCCACTTCCTGTCCATCCAGAGCAGGGACAGTTTTTGTTTTAACCCATAAATTTCTCATGAAAGTCCAACTTATCTCTTCTCTCAGGGATACGCTCGCTGCGGCTGGAACCTGAACGTGATGCCCGTTCTGGAGCAGTCACTTCTTTGCCACATCAACGGCGACATCTCTGGGATGAAGGTGCCGTGGCTTTACGTGGGGATGGTGTTCTCCGCCTTCTGCTGGCACATCGAAGACCACTGGAGCTACTCCATCAACTACCTGCACTGGTAGAGCGCCGCCGCCGCTGCTGCTGCTGTTGTTGTTGTTGTTTGATTTGTTGTTAAATTTTCACTTCCTCATCAACCGTCAACACAGGGGTGAACCCAAGACCTGGTACGGAGTTCCCTCTGTGGCAGCGGAACGGCTGGAGGAGGTGATGCATAAACTGACCCCAGAGCTGTTTGAGTATCAGCCTGACCTCCTGCACCAGCTGGTCACCATCATGAACCCCAACATCCTCATGTCTCATGGTGTACCGGTCAGTAACACACACACACACACACACACACA